CGGATATTAAAAAAGGAAAAGAAATGCAAATAAAGATACATTCAATGTCAAATATTAATAAAAACAAGCTTAAGTTTGTGTACAAATCTTTTCAAATAAATTTTAGAAAACAAGAAATAAGGCTATCGTCCACCTAAAAGAAGTTTTAAATATATTCAATGAAGCGATATTTCCGTTTTAAAAGCGAATCTTTTGATTGATTGTCCAGATAACTTGTGCTTTAATCCTTAACTTTTTACATATTTGTATAAATTGTGCTCTATTTACGCACTTTTTACATATTTTTACTTGGTTTAAGCCAAATTTTGCATTATGCACGACTTCTTATTAAGTTTTCACTGCATGCATGCATTCATTTTTGATCAAAGCAAAACGGGATTAAATCGAAATAAGTCCATATAAATACCACACTTTTAAACTGGTTTTCAACACAAACTTCTGCTGGCATCATTCATTCATTTTAATACATTTGTATTAAATTTTGGCATGAAATGTGTAACAACTCCGAATCCCTTTAATTCAATTGAATAGATACATATACGTATCTTCTTGTTTTAATTATCTCTTAATAGTCAAACATCAAATTCTGTTTACATACTCTAAATGGTGTGTCCAAAAAAAAAAGAGAGAACTTATCATATCTTTGAGATTAAACATAAAAACCTTTGCATCTAATTATAAAAATCATTAAATTTTTACTTGACTTTATTTCAAGAAGCAGCACAGAATAACGCATGGAAACTATAACACAATAAGATCACATAATTATAATTTTTAAGTAACAAAAAGAAAATCTCGAAAAAACACTGTGAAGAAATCAAATTTAATCTAATTAAGGTATATATTATAAAATTGTTAGGAAACTCTGAAAACATAAGAAAAAAGAAATGCAAATGTTTATGACAATGAATCTGAATCTGAATCTGAATCTGAACTGTTCGACGATTTAGAAAACTTTTTAGAAAGTTTTCAAAATGGAGAGTTAACAAATGCGCGAATCCGGCTTTACTCCGTCTCCGTCTCTCTCTCCTTCTCTATCTCTTTATCTCTCTCTCACACTCTTTCTCTCTCTGTCTGTCTATCTATTTACCTCTATCTCTCTCGCTCGATTTCTTACTGCAATAACTGAACGAGGCCACAAGGGAAACTGATCGAAACAACTCTGCGGTGCGAATGTGTGAATTAAGATGTTTGCATAATGTGAGCAGATATACCCTGTAGAAGCCGAAGACAAACGAATATGGCATATACACATACATTCCAGGGAAAACTTGTTTATTGCGTTACTTTCGTTGTTGAAGATATATATATATATATATATTAAGTCTTGGGCGCCGTTTAAAATACTTTTTGAAGTCTTTAGCTTTTGCGTTTTGTTCGGAATGTTTGCTTGTATGTGTGTATGAATGTGTATGTGGGTGTGTGTTTGGCTGGGTGTGGGTGTGTGTGAGTGTGACCGTCTGATTGCATTTGGGTGTGAGTCCGAGCGAGTGAGTGTGCGACTTGTATGCAGCATGCAGAGTTTTCTTGATCACGTTTCCACCATGCACGAGTCCAGCGCCTGCAGATAACGGAGAAGCACCCAACTACCGATAAACGATAACCGATAATCGATAACCAATAACCGATACATGATAACAAAAATATTGCATCAAATCAGCAGCAGCAACAGGAGATGCAGATGAAGAAGAAACAGAAGCAGAAACAGAAGAAATTATTGAGGATTAAAATAATGATCAAAAATAATAAACAGAAGGCAGCTGTTCTAATTCTTATTCAGGGAAACCGGCAGAAACTTTATCGCAACACTAATTACAAAAATCCAAAACAAAAAAAAAAAAAATAAATAAAAAAAAATATACATATATATATTTTTACTTTATTCTTCCTCCCCTCCCCTTCTCTTAGCAATTTAGGTGCTCAATATACTATATAGTCAAATATGTAACAATTTTGAGTGCTATAAAATGCAAAAAAAAAAAAAAAAAAAAAAAAACAAAAAACACTAAACAAAATCTAGTCAAGAAAATTTCCCCAATTACAAAATCAAGATCTAAGTCGATCCAAGCCAAACAATATTATACACTAATTAAATCAGCCACCAAGAGGCTGAACTAAGAAACAAAAGCGAGCGCCACAATTAATATGGAATTATATCCAATGATATACATATGCACACACGAATCTCGTCTCAAGGGTCGATTCGATTTACAAACATACATACACCCAGACATTTAGTATGAATCCAATGATAACAGATGGTCGGGATAACTGCAGGGAGCAGATGATCTACGCCGGATTCGGAACCGGCATTGGAACCGGAACCGGAGCACAGCCCAGCCAGCCAGTGACAGCCACAGCACGAGAGCAACAGCCACATGGAGCCTCAGGCCACGTCTTCTGCACCACTTTTTTAGGGTACTGGTGAAAAAAAAACAAACAAAAAAAAAAAAAACAAATTTAAAAAAAAAAAAAAACAAACAACAACAAAATACTGCAAAAAATTGAGAAATTCAACCATTGACCTCGTTTGACATTTCGTACACCATTTTATATATGTCTATCATTTTATATTAACTATAAACCTAGTTATAGATTCTACATACATACGTACATACTCTTAAAACTCCACAAATAACCCACAATACGCATTCGTATCTCTTAAGTATATAACATATATATATATATATATATATATATATACGAATCACGTTAAACAATTGTGAAAGTCTCGTTTCCGATGCCAGCATCTTGGGCTTATAACATTACGTTCATTCACTTCTGTTACGATCTTAAACGTTATCGAATCATCGATTTATCGATACATTCCATGCTTTGCATAACCGCATTCCGCTGACAGAATATTGCTTTCATTACAATCGGAGGTGGGCATCGATTATCGATTATTTAACGACCTGTTTCACCTCTGCATACATTTCATAAAAAGCTTATATTTTCCTCCCAAGTGCTTTAGTTATTGCCAATTACTATACTGCTTATGTAGAATAACAAAGATAAAGCATCGAGCTCAATGGACATCTAAATAGTATGTGTAAAAAGCTGTTTGTCCCGGCTGATTAATTGATTAACTTATAGTCAACCAACCATAATAGATAGTGCGGTTTTATGAAACTTGTTTCTAACCCATTCGATCGGCATCAAACTCATTTACAAAGATTCAAATTCTCAAATCCATTTAAGTGCTGTTTCACGCTTTTCTCAAAATCCACTCCTCCTGAGTGGAAAAGAAGCTCGTTTCAGAGCGAAAACTTAATTGATTGGCGATATTGATCAGAGATATTGTGAATTCCACGCGCAACTGTGGAAAATTCGTGAAAACCCGTTTTAAGCGACCTTTCGATCGGCTTTAAACACAATTTCAATGTTCTTTGACTGGTCAGCTGCACAATTTTGGTTCCATATGGGTATACAAAGCGTTCTTTAAGAGGTAGTGATGGGACTCACCTAGAACGAGTGGAATATTAAGCATTGCTCGCACTTCAGAGCCTCAGCATTACGCCTAGAGAAATATCAACTACGTTTACCTAAGATCCTAGAATAAAGGTGGCGGTGCAGGTGCAGTTGAACTAGTTCTTCATAACCCAATTAAGTGTGTGGGTGGTGTGGCTAGAGTTATTATTCTCAACTATGATAATACGTATTTGCGGAAACCCAGGCTATCATCCAGCATTCCTTCGTACTAACCATACCAACTATACTTATATATACAAACTATACATGCATACATATAAGAACTAGACACCAAAAATTATATATATTTATATTATATATATATATATATATATATATATATATTTATTAAATATTAATATTAAAATTATAATCTAACTAGTTTAAATAGTTTATAAAAATAGATTTTAAGCTAGCTTTAAGCTGCTGCCCTGGAAATTGCTTTAAGCGAGAAAGAGAGGCTGACAGTGTGTATGTATGGGAGAGAGGGAGAGGGAGAGAGAGAGATTGAGAGTGAAAGAGAAAGAGTGCTTGTGAGTTTGTGTTCATGTTGAAAAGCGAGCTGGTTTTTGTTTGTTTTTCTAACATTCAGACGGGCAATCCGCGCATCAAGCCAACAGTTTGTTTCACATTTGTGAGTGTCTTATATATATTATTATATATTGGATTTGATCAGAAGGTAGTTTGTTGTTTGCGCTGGATGTATGTATTATAGGCTAAGGAGTTTGTGAATGCGATGGACTAAAGCAATTTCCAAGCTCAGAGCATTGCGAGCACATTATATAATATGTATAATATATAATATATATACATATATACATATTTAATCAGCTTGCCTTAAGACTTAATCCCCCACAAAGATACTCAAACACAACATGACCCATGAAAAGTATACACATATATATGCATATATATATATATATATATATGGATATATGCCCATATATTTATTTGCCAACCCAAACCCGAATTGCAGCCAAGTTGTTGGCTAAAATAGAGAGCAATAACCATTTGAATAATATATATTTTAATTTTAGCATTTAGCATTAAGCTCTTTATAGTTATGTAAGCTGTCGGACATATAAGCATTTGCTCTCTATTTTTACCTTCAATTGGCTGGCTGACTGTCTCACCCCTCTCTCACTCTCTCTCTCTGTCTCTCTATGTCTCTGTCTTTGTCTCTGTCTATCTCCCTCTCACTTTCTCTCTCTCTCTCTCTCTCTCTCTCTCTCTGTCTCTCCGTGTCTGTCTTTCTCCAGCTACTCCTTACAGTTTAGCGCTTCACCCCTCCTTTTTACCCTACGCGAAGAATTCTTATATATATATATTTTTTTTCTCTTTATATTTATATTTTTTTTAGTTATTTACTGATATTCTTTTTTTTTATTTTTGACTTGACCACGCCCACAAACTCCTAACCACCCCTGACACCTGACCCTGCCCCTGCCTCTGCCCCTGCCCCCACCCCCTTTAGAAGCCGCACAATTGCCAGCATCAGTGTACTAAAGACGCTTCTCTTATACTTGTAGATGTGGCGAACTTCATGGACACGAGCAACGCGCCCGCCAACAACTCCGCCTGGGTGGGCAACAATGGCAGCAGCAATGCCGCCGCCGTTGTCGCTGCGGGCGGGAACGTTGTGGAAACGAAACATGAACTGGATTTGGGCATGATGCCGCCACCGATCACAACACAGATACCGATGGGACTGCGCCGCTCATCGCTGTCCGGGTCGACGCCCATGATAACGGATCAGCAGCTGGTGCATCTGAGCAGCGCGGATGCGGCACTGAAGAGCGAGCTGCTGGACGAGAACAGCTCGCTCAGCCCACATACGGCCGAAGCGCTCCACTCGCCGGAGGCACTCAATCCGTGCAGCCCCAATGCGCTGCAGTATCATGCACATTATGCGCGCAAGGCCAGCCTGGACACGATCATGTACGATCAGTCGAATAGTATGCCCGGCTTTCCAGTGCCCGCTGCGTCAACTGTGGAACTGGATCCCGCTTCCGCGGTCGCTGTGGCCGTTGGCCTGGCCGTCAAGCACGAAATTGTCCAACATGTGGTGCAGCAGCAGCAGCAGCAGCAACAACAGCAGCAGCAGCAGCAACAACAGCAACAGCAGTCGGCGGCAAATGTGCACAAGTTCATTGATGATCTGACCAAGTCCACGTCTGTGGTCAACAGCAATGGCACCAGTGAGCCGGCGCTGTTCACGGGCTCGTCGGTCATTGACCACGCCCTCACGGACATACTGCAACAGAAGGTGGGCGTACTGGCACACACACACCCGCACACGCACACGCATACGCACGGACACGGACACGGACACACAACGGCAACAGCTGCGCCCAGCGTACTGAAGCGAAGCCTCTCGATCAGCAGCAACAACTCCAACTCGAGCTCGCTGTCGGGCAGCGAAACATCACCAAATAGCTCGCCGTTAACGCAGGATATAATCCTCAATTCGGAGCCGGCGGCCGCGTTGGGCGCCGGTTTGCCATTGCAGCAGTTGGCAGCGGTCCCAGCTGCAGCTGCGGCTGCTGCTGCTGTGGCCAATGCTGGCGGCGCTTTGTCCACGGACATCATCATGAATCCGGCTGTGTCGCCGTCAACCATACTCTGTTCGGCAAATGGCGCCGCCACCGCCATGGTGGCCAACATATTGGCGCCACATCAGGTGACCATGGCCAATTCGATACTGAACGACATTGCCATGCAGGCGGAGCCGACGCGCCAAGATGCAGCTGTTGCTGCCTTGGCGCTGAGCAACATTATGATGAGTCCGCCGAATGCCGCCGCGGGCGTCGATGTCGGTGACACACTGCCGCCGACACCCGCTGTCATGCAGCCAGAGGTGGCTGCCACAGCCACCTCGACGGCCGTTAGCAACATGATAATAAAGGCTGCTGCTGATTTTATAACTACACAAGAGCAGGAACAGCATCATTATCACCAGCAGCAGCAGCAGCAACAACAGCAACAACAACAACAGCAACAGCAACAACAGCAGCATGCGCATGCCCATTCGCACTCACATCCGCATCCGCATCCACACTCACATCCACTTCCGCATCCTCACCCACATCCACAACAGCAGCAGCAGCAGCAGGCAGCAAATGCGGCCGCCACTGGCGGAGATCCGCTGGTCAATCTGCTGTTGAACCACACCACATCGGAAACAGTTGCCGTGGAGGCAGCCACCGCTGCCGCCGTTGCCGCCGGCTTCCCAGCACTGTCAGCTGTCCACCTGCCCGTTGTGCCGCCCACACCACAAGAATCTCTCATTGTTGCGCTGGCCACTGAGAACGCATTGCAAAAGTCTGTGGCCACTGCGGCCGTAACAACCAATGGAGCTGTGATGACACAGCAGGCATCGGCGCCCAGCAGCGCCGGCAGCATTCTGCCAGCCGCCGTTGGCGCCGTCGCTGCGGCCGCTGCAGTCGCTGTGCAGCCGCCCATACCCCAGGAGCTGACCACAATGTCCGACCAAGATCTAATCAGTTACATCAATCCGAGCACCTTCGATCAGCGTAAGTACCTGCTCAACTTAAATATCTCTCCCTATCTCTCTCTCTCTCTCTGATTCTCTATGATTCAAGCTAGGGTCGAACTAACAAGCGAGAAGTTGCGGGTTCGATCTTATGTGATCTTATTTGTGCTTATTCGCAATGAAGACTTAACAGATATTGTTTTTGGCAGTCTCCAATCTTGCGATTAAGTAACAAAATATATATATTTATATTTATAAAGGCTGCAAACTGGTTTTGAGCCCAACCAATTAAATTTCGGAATTCCAATTTATTTAAAAAGGGTTGTTTTTTTTTTAATAAACTTATTCCATGTTAAATTCGCATTTAATGATTGCTTTTCTTTCTCTTGTGTTTCAGTTTAAACGGCGACAGATCAACAAATTAAACTATTGGGTTATTTTAATCAACTAAGGGGAAACCACACAGGCCTAATCCTAAGCGTTAACATATAAAAACACACCCACACACACACACACGCACACAGCTTAATGTGGACCAAATTGTTTGTTTCATTCGGTTAGCAGAACTAATTTTACCACCAATGAGAAAAGTGCAATGAAAATCACCTCTCTCTTTCACACCCACACACAACACACAGACAGACACACACACACACACACATTTGTATCGTTTTAAGCACACTTGTTAAGCTGTAGACCCTATAGATATACCTTTTTTTTTTGTTTTTGTTAAATTTAAATTGATTTTTTGTCAACAAAAGTCAAATTATCTCAAAAATGATAACGACTGCCATATAAATACATGAATAAAACAGAAGCAATCGCCCCAACTAAATAATAATACATGAAAACAAATCAACAATTGCAGTTAATCAATTAAATATACATATTAAAACAGATTTTACTTATTTAATCAATATTTTTTTTCTATTTACGTATTATTATTTTGTTGCGTTTATGTCCCGAAACTTTCTGAAAGTTCAAGTCTGATTTGATATACATACATATATAAAACAACTATATATAATTATAACTATTTGTTTTTTTTTTTTTTTTGCAAAATATATATTTCATATTTTTATTATTATTAATATTATTATTATTTTGTCTTCTGTTAAGGGGTTTGCAAAATCAAAACAAAAAAATTATCTACATACATGTATAAATATTTATAGCTACGAATATGAATATGCGAAAATTCCAAAAGACTTTTTATTTAAAAACAAACAACAAAAACAAAACAAAAAAAAAAAACAAACAAACAAACTTTTTTTCATACTGTTCAAGTTTTAAATGTTTAAACTATATCGCAAAGAACGAGAAAACAGCACGCACACAAATATAACAAACATTTTTTATGCTTAACATTATAATTAACTATATTGTTTACTATTATGATCATTTATTGTTAGTAGCTGCTAAATGTAGTCGTAGTCATAGGCCACAAATCAGAGTTACCTAAAATTATATATATATATAGATATATATGCCGTATACCAGATAGATCAAATGTCTGCGCATTGCTTAGTATTACCTCCACACACACCCCCCGCCCGCTCCCCACGCATAACAAAAATAATAAAAGATCCTCCGAAGAATGAAATATTTTACATTTAGCAATTTATGGCGTACACTCTGCAATTATTGTTAAATTTGCTTCGATTTAATAGAGGACAACAGCGACAAAAAAAAAAGGAAGCAACAAAAAATAAACCCCTCTTGAATATGCATTTGTATACCCTGTACCTACAATTTGTTGTACGATATTTATACATAAATATTTATTATATGTAAAATAAAAGCATAGAATTTGACGAATTTCGACGTGAGAATTGAATATATGAATAATAAAGGAACAGGCTGCTACAGTTAATTTCGATTAAAGTATAAAAACGAATATCCTAGACTTACGATGAGACAACAAATATTTAGATTAAATGCGATTTTCACAATATTTCAACAATCAACGTACAGCCCACTTTCGGATCAATTAAAAACTCTTACTTGTTACGTAAATGTGTTAAACAGTCTCAGAGATTGCATATATATATATATATGTTATATATGTGAATATATATTCCTCAGAATTACAAATATACATTGATGGTAAACAACTATTTTTTTTTTTTTGTAAACTAAGTATTCGTGTATGAAGAAAGAATATATATTATATTTTATTTCTGCCCAAAATATGCTCGCAGAGTCAGAAAGAAACCTCAGAGTCAATAGAAAGAGCAGGCTAAAAAACAAAAACAAAAAAAACAAAAAAAAACAATTGTTAAACTTTAAACATATTTACACACATAAACTATATCGATATTTAACATATACAGTAAATTGAATGTATTTTTGGATGTCCTTATTGCTGCATGTCAAAAATAGAAATCAAAATATGAAGCGTATCAAGAACTCATTAAATTCAATGCGAAAATAATTACACTTTCAACTTCCCCCAAATTTGGATTAACTAATGTTTAATTAAATAAATTCGAGTACACATTATTTTAATCGACCAGATCTTTTATATATATATATACATATATATATATAGTTTAATTATTGTTATAGTTCATAGTTAAAAGGTATCACAAAAATTTTCTTAAGAAACTTGTGTGCTTTTGTTTTGTTTTTTTTTTTTTTTTTATATATATATATATAAATATATATATTTGCTGTATCTTTCCGTTTCTAAACCAAACCTCGAAACTCGTCTTCTTGATGTGTATGTGAAAAATGAAAAATAAAAACAAATCTACATGTATGCATGTAAGAAAAATATAAATGCGTTCATTTTTAATTACTTGTCGGGAATTCAAGAGACTGTCCATGTTCCGAATCAGATGCGTAGACCGATGCGTTCCTTGGACGGCTTCGACTTGGACTCCAGCGACGAGGTGCGTCCGCGTCCCAGCCGCTTGCGCACAGCCATTACTTTGAAGCGTGTTTTCAAATCATAACCGGGTAGTATGAGATTCTCCTTCATCAAAAGCGCGGACCACAGCCAATTTGTTGGCGTGCGCTGTGGCAACAAATTGTCACACAATGGCACAATCAACACGCTCAACATATACGTTGGGTACTTACGCGTAGTGAGTAGGGTGGCGTTGACATTGGGAGGCGACAACCGAGTCTTGAAATTCGAAATATATTATAATGTGTATAAGTACAATGGGTAATATATTGATTGTATAACAACGATTTGGAGGGTATAATAACAATATGTATAAATGAGCTACTATGATTACAAATATGCCAGGCAATTGCTGCCCAGCCAACTAGAATTTAAACAGAAACTCGGCGGTAGGCAAAGCGCAACGTGCACGATGCGATTGCCGTATCCAATCCGTGCTCACAGCCTGTGGGGGATGCGTAGTGAAATGCTCCTGATACCATTGCTTAAAATCCTGCCGATTCAGTCGGCTGGAACATACAAGCACAAGGTTAATGCTCTGAAGCTCTGTTTCGCTAACTAGCTGCCCGCCACGCTGGATAAAGAGCAGCCTCGCCAGCTCATCTGCATCGCGATTATAAAAGCAGGCATGGTGCTTGGCAAAAATGTTGTAACTGGCAGTGCCAAGCAGTTGCTGCTCCAGTTTGTCCAAATCATGCTCATCCACATGCACAGAGTCCAATTGCACTTCGCTTATATCCAGCAGCACTTCCTGTAGCTCGTTCAGGCTGCCAAACAGGTCCGTAAAGCTATCACCCAGCTTGTCAAAACTCTTGTCGAACTGCGTCTGCAGCGCATCGGTGGCTGACAGCACATCTCTGGGACGCAGCTCGATCTGCTGTTTCTGGGACACACGCAGCAGCCAATCCAGGCGTAAAATGTCATTGCAGCGCGGCTGTTGCTGCATCAGACGCTCCACCAAATAGACAAGATCACCGGCTATGCAAATGCACTTCGGATCGTTGGGCAATGGATTCTGGACAATGGTGCCGCCGTTCTCAGCGGCCAGTGTTTGTAGCTGCTGTTTGCTGTATCCGCGTGTGCCGCTCAATATGCAAAAGCTGAAGCCCTCAAACAGCTGTGAGCTGTTCGCCAAGGGCTGGACATCATAACGCTTCTCATAGGCAGCCAAGCCGAGGCGGTTGCGTTCGGCCGTCGTCAACTTTATACGCTTGCGTTCCGTGGTAAAGTCATTTAGGTTCGCCTGACGCTTGTTGAGTTTCTTTATGGCACCCTGACCCTGCAAAATAATGAATTTATAATTTGAAAATATATGATTCTCTCTTTCTCTCTCTCCCTCTCTCTCTCTCTCTCTCTCTGCATGCCCACGCTCACCTGACACAGTTCTGTATACTCCTGCAGCGTCATGCACTCGTTCCACACCTTGTCATCGCGCAGGAGCTGTGTGCGCGGAAAGTGCAGCGACTTGGGTGTATAGAAGGCGCCATTGGGTGTCAAATCCGCTGCCTTCACCTGCAATATGACGGACTTCTCCGGCTGAATCCAAACGTCGGGTGAGCCCTCCTTTTCGTTAGGCTTGTAGTGATACCACAGCGGCGGTGGCTCCGTGCTCGCATCGTGCCAATGTGGCCTCAGCTCATGATGGAGCACGGTGCGCTGACGCGTATTATTGGCCACACAGCCAATGCTGTACACCTCGTCACGCTCCGTTTCGCCGCCAGGCTTAAGCACGCCCAGCAAAAATGATTCAATGAAGGTCCGTTTGCGATTGTAAAAGCCACCAATGATGAGCACATCGAACTCGGTTATAAGACCCTCGATATACTGCACATAGAGGAAGATAAGAAAAAGGTTTTTCATAATTGAGTAACTGCAGACTCACATCCGCTTTGTCCTTGTACCAGCCGCCGCCTACACGCACTCCGGGCTTATAGATTGAGTTTTGCTTTTTAAGGACAATGCCCTCCGCATTGGAGTCAAGCATCTGCTGGAAGAGCGTATTGAAATGCTCTAGGGAACTTATTTTCTGTCCCTTCATTATTTGCAGCACGCCCTGCTGTTCGCTGATCAGCTCCTGCAGCTTATAGGTGCGCTGCGCGTACGTCATATCCAGCAGGCTCTCCCCGTTCAGATAGAGCAGATCATAGACCACAAAGCAGGGCCGCCAGCTGCGCTCCGGTTTTAGATGTTTCACATCTGTGTTTTCGCCCTTCTCGCGATAGCGCAGCTGCTGCGTATCCCAGATCATCATCTCGCCGTCCAGTATTATAGACTCCATGCCCAGGGGCAGCAGTGGACGCAGATGAGGTGTCAATGTGCCGGTCTCGTAGCTGTCACCAAAACTTTTGGTATAGTCGGCGCCCTTGCGGGATATATATTTAAATCGGCCGCGCGCATAGTGCAGCTGAAAACGTTCGCCATCCATTTTAGTCTCTAAGTACAGCACATCCGACTTCATAAGCTCCTCGATCTTGCCGGGAAACCTTTCGCACAACATTGGCCTTATTTGATGAAAGGGCTCAATGAACGTGTTTAATTTTGTGACTGCGTTGCTGCCGCCGCTGCTGCTGCTGCTGCCGATGTTGCCAGTCGGTGCCTCCGGCAAAAGCTTATTGTCCGCGAGCAGCACACAAATGCGTGCCAGATCTGAGCAGCGCTGGTACACGTCCTTCGCCAAGGGATGCAGCAAGCCGAAGATTCGCTGCTCGCCAATGCCCAAGCCCATTGACTTGAGCAGAATGCGTATCAGCCACTTTTGCTCCTGGGCGGAGGCCAGCTCCGTAAAGCGTATCAATTCGCGTTCCTTTACTACAGAAAGAAAAGCAAAAATAATCGGAATCGATCAAGCTATTTCTTGCAGATTCGTGCAGCAGGATTAAGGGCGCCAGTTCAGGGAAACCCTTTATCTTGTTGCATGCGGCGCGACTGGACACACGAATGCAAAAAGATCGTGTAAAATATCTAATGAATCTCTGTGGGATTGGAGTTTCCCCCTCCTTGGGTATACCCTCTGAATATGCATGAAAATGTTGGTTATCTAGAAACTGAGACATTCTACTTATGGTCTTACGTGACTCCCTACTGTGCTAAGGTTCCGGTGAGTATTTCGAGCACCTACCAGTTGTGTCCTCGCTGGCAATAATGTCGAGCATTTCATGGATTTGCTTGAGCGTCAGGTTGCTGGGCTCATTGTGACAGCGAGGCAGCAGCACAGCATGCACCACATCAGCATAGTCACGGAACGTAGACACAGTACGATGCTGCAGCCGTATCGCATCATCAGCTGGACGAAACAACAGACATTAATTGGATGTGGCATGGGGTTGCCGAAGGGATTGGCACTCACAATCTTTGGCTAGCTGCAGGACGCGCGTGTAGAGTCGTCCCAGGGCGGTTATCTGCAGGCCGTAGTTGTCGCGTGAGGTGTCCGCGCCAGGTATTAAGAGACGCAGCACCGGATAAAAACTGCTGGCACCGTCCTCTAGCTGGTTCGCCGTCAGACCTGCACTCAGTCGGAATGTCTCCCGATGTTTGCAGAAGGAGTCGTAATAGCGCTTTAGAATGAGCTCCTTGCGCTGCATATTTTTGGCCACCTTAACTCGCTCCATCATTGTGCATATGTCACGAAATTTTATGGTGCTGGAGATGTCCATGGCGCTTTTATTATGATTTCACCATCAAGAATATAACAAATCGACATGCAAAAACAAATTGCAGTAGGCAAGCGGTACAATATTTATCGATAAATCACAATCGATTCTAATATTTTAGAGATTTTCTTTCTTAGTTAGTATCTTGACATTTAAGGTGACCATATTGCTGGAAAGAAACGGTTGTTTGCAACACTGGCAAACATAAGTATAAGTTTTTTTTTCATTTGTTACACTTCAGAGGTTTAATAAAATAAATAAAACAGAAATACAACATGTTGTATTTGGAGGACTATTTAGAGAGTAAGTAGCTAAGTAAATACGAACAAGCGACTGTCACAAGAAAATGCTCTTCGATTTTTGTTGCAGTGATTGAGCATCTGCCGCAGGAGCTGCGAGACCGTTTCACAGAGATGCGTGAATTGGATCTTGCCGTGCAAAGTAAGTGGATCTGGAAACACATAAACAATATTAAACACTGTTGCCAACACAGATAACATGGACTCGCTGGACAAGAAGTCGCGTCTGTTCTTTCAGCAGTGCAAACGCGGCGAGCTGCAGCACGAATCGATGGACGCGGAATTCCACAGCCTGCGGGGCGACTACTTCAAGGTAATGGAGGATGCCGATGAGAAAGTTGCCATTGCCACCCAAATACATGAGCTCGTCGAGCGCTATCTGCGTAGACTGGACAGCGAGCTGTTCAAGTTCAAGTGCGAGCTGGAGGCGGACAACAATGGCATCACCGAGATACTGGAGAAGCGCTCTCTGGAGCTGGATGGCAATAATTCCACAGCTGCAACGGCCCTGTTGATGAGCATCAATCAAAAAGAGAATCGTTACTATAACGCAAGCAGCGTTAGCAGCAATAGCAATTTAATGGCCAGCAACATCAACAGCGCCGCCGGCATCATCACCAGCACAGGCAGCACCAGTGGCAGCCTGCTGGTCAACAGCTCCGCACTTAGCAGCCTGTCCGGCAACAACAGCGCAGTTGGCAGCCATCAGCGACATCGCAAGCTGGAGAAGCGGCGCGAAACAATATGCACAGTGCCCGTGCAGGAGAAGCGTCCCAATCTAAATCAGTCGCTGCCAGTGGCACCCGTCAATAACAGTGTTGGCGGCAGCCTTGTTAATCCTGTCGCGAGCAATCATGTGAATACGATCACCACACATGTCACGCTGCCCGTGGTCGCCACCAATGCCGGCAATGCTGTCGCCGCCGCCGCTAATATTGTGCGCCAGCTGCCCACGAATCTCACAGCGCACAGCGTGCTGAGCACCAGCAGCAACAATGCGGCTGTTGCGGCAGCCGCAGCTGCTGCTGCTGCAGCTGCTGCAAACAATACCGTAAACGTTGGGCCCGTAGCAGGCACTGGCACTGGCGCTGGCATGACGGCCAGCCACGGCAACACCACGGTCAGCTATAATCTGCACCAGCTGGGCGGCGGTGCAGCTGCCTCAAGCGCCATTGCGGCCGCGGCAAGCCAAGCAATTGTGGCCACCCAACAAATGCCGCAGGGACGTCGTACGGCCAGCCTGAAGGCCAGCTATGAGGCCATACATGGCGCTGGCGTCGCTAGCAGTACAGAGTTCTGGTCGGCGGCAGCGGCGCATAATAGCAGCATGCAGCAGCCAGCGACTGGAACGCTGGCCACCGCCGTGCATCATCATCCTCCGCAACAACAGCAACAGCAACAACAACAGCAGCACCAGCAGCAGCAGCAGCAACAACAACAGCAACAACATCACCACCAGCAACATCATCAGCATCATCACGAGAAGAAGCACAAGAAGTAAGTAAAAGTCTAACATAATCCTTGGAGCGCAGTACTGAATAATGATGCTTTTTCAGGAAACTGAATGCCAGCATTTCGATGCCTGGCGGGCTAGCCTACAAATTCTGGGACGGTTCCTCGTCGGGCAACTCAATTGCATCGTCCTCATCGTCGATTAGCGTGGACTCAGTTGACATGCTAGCAAATGCTACCACCGCCGCCCCACCTATACAACACGCCAGTCTCAGCCAAGGCACGCTGGCCATCAATCCCACAACCAATCAACTGGCAACTGCCCATCCGACAGTTGCCCATCCGCCAGCACCAGTAACTGCTGTTACTCTGCCGACTGTTAATAACGTAACGGCGACATCCATTGGATTGCCCAGCACAACGCTTGCTCCGGGCGCCAATCTAACCATTAGCGAGAACGGTCTGGTTGTCGAGCAAACCAACGAAGGCGAATGGTCATACGATCCGAACGAGCCGCGCTACTGCACCTGTAATCAGGTCTCGTACGGCGACATGGTTGCCTGCGACAACGATGCCTGCCCCTACGAATGGTTCCATTATCCGTGCGTGGGCATCACACAGCCGCCCAAGGGCAAGTGGTACTGCCCCAAGTGCACCGCTTCCATGCGGCGTCGCGGGAATCGCAAGAACTGAGCTGCACCTGCAACTGGATCTCTTTGAATGGGCCGTTTGCTAACCTATCCTAGATCCTAGATCCATCATCCAAGACATTCTTATAATTAGATGCCTGTAAAGAACTAATAAATAGCTGATCAGCGGAGCAACAACAATCGCGATCTGTGTTGCCTATGTTAACCATAGCTGAATTAGCTTTCTGGCACAGTTTTATTGAGTTGATGGAAAAAAAGAAGCTACTGTAGACAATAGCCGAGATTAGATAGAAAATAACCGAATTGGTAAAACTGAGCTCTACTTTTTGCGGGTATTGCGGTAATTCTTAGACTCTATAGCTGACAATTGTTGGAAACTAATCTAGCTGCATTTACATTTTTTATATATTTGTTTGAAAACATGAACAGTTATGCATGAAGCCAAATGGCGCATCAGTTGTTGCCGAAACCTAGACAACAAAATTGGTTAGTTCAAATTAAAGCGTTTCTGCCGATTCATTGAACTAGTTATCGATAGCGATAACATATCTGGCTGCATGAACCGATTGCAGGAAATCAAATTGTCAGCAAATCGATAAGCAAAAGTACCATCTCTACAATTAAGGTGACGGCAGCAGCATTGGCTTTGTCCGAAAACAAACTGCAATAAAAAGTAAATTGTGTTGTGCACACGCAAATCAATACCGTAACTGCATCTTTACGGTGGTTGAAAATAACGAAACGTTCGCAAAACTACTCATTACGTACTCCCAACGGTTACAAATAACGGCCTCAAAATTGGCAAAATACGGAAAAACAAGAAAATGAGCTACAATGAGAAAAGCGAGGCCATCACAAAAGAGGAATGGCTGCAACGGCTGGAGCAGTTTCCGTTCAAGCAGGCGGACATGAATCGTCTCATTATGAACTACTTGGTGACAGGTAAGCGAAAAAACAAACAGCTTCGATATATATGTGAAATCCTTTTATTATAGAGGGCTTTAAGGAGGCCGCCGAGAAGTTTCAGCACGAAGCGGAGCTGGAGCCCAGCGTTGAGCTGAGCAGCTTAGATGATCGCATATTGATACGTGAGGCAGTGCAGGCCGGGCGCATTGAGGAGGCAACGCACCTGGTTAACCAGCTGCATCCTGATTTGCTGGGCAGCGAGCTCTACTTGTTTTTCCACTTGCAGCAGCTACAGCTAATTGAGCTAATTAGGGCGGGCAAAGTAGAGGAGGCTTTGGTCTTTGCTCAGTCCAAGCTGTCCGAGTCGGGTGAAGAGATCCGTTTCGAGCTGGAGCGCACCCTGGCTTTGCTTGCATTCGAAAAGCCGCAAGAGAGCCCCTTCTCCGATCTACTGGAGCAGTCGTACAGACAGAAGATCGCCAGTGAGCTGAACTCGGCCATATTGCGTTGCGAGCACAGCGAGGATTCGACGCCAAAAATGATGTTTTTGCTCAAGCTAATACTGTGGGCACAGTCCAAGCTCGACAGCCGCTCGATAAGCTATCCGAAGATGAAGGATCTGGAGACTGCGCAGGTGGAGCCAAAATAGGCTATAGAAGCGGATGGATATCAAGCGAATGGGGATAATCGCAATAATAATAACAAATGTATAAGCGTGGGTGGGCGTGGCAGTTTTAGAGTGAATGGATGTATGCAATCGAAGCAAATTAATACCAATTTCTATATCTATTTCTATATATATATATATTTTATAAATGTATGCATTAGGATTTTATGTTGCAAAGATTAAAAATGTCTGAAGCTGAATCTGGTTTCGAAGAACAATTAGACAAACGAATGGATCGGTTTTTATTTTTATTATTGATTAATCTATTCAACGATCACCAGCCAAAGATGAGATCCATTGCCTTGTTCATCAGTCCGGTGCTCTTCTGTGGCACATTGCGATTGGGTGAGACATGCGTCTCATGCTGGGCATTATTGTAGGATTGCTGTGTCAGCGGTCGTACCTTTGGTCGAAAAGGCACAGCAGCATCTGGTCCGGCCAACTTGGAGTTCTCCTTGTCTATAATGCTCTCGTCGGTGCAGCGAGTGACGCCCACCATAACATTGCTGGCAATGACTTTCAGGTTGTAGTTCAATGCCTTGTCGCTCTCAATGCGCGAAGCGAACCGCACGTGCATCCAGTTGCCGTTCTGCGGCGCATGCACCACATCCACTATTGTGCCGCACATGGTAAAGTGCTGGAGTATCATGGAGCTAGCACCCGGTGAGAAGCCAAAGATAGTTACCCAAAAATCACCGCCGCGTGCTTGCGGTGTGTGTGGCAATGTCATAGGTGACATGTTGGCCCCGAGTGGAGAACAGAGCGCACGCATGGAGGCGTTAACGGCATTGGGCGCATTGGGTACATACGAATCATTCAGCTGTGTCGTTGGCGGATGACAGCTCTGATTCAGGCTATAGTTCGAGCTGTTCAGATGCGACGTCTGCAACATGGCCAAATGTGTGCGCTGCGGCGTGCCGCACACCTGTTCGCCGCGCAGTGAATCAAACAGTCCCTGAGTGGGAGGACCAGCCTGATGACTGGTGTTCGCTGTACCACCACTGGCGCTACCGCTGCCGCCGGCAAATAGCGTGCGTGTGCCCATAGCTGAGCGATTTAGTTGTTGTTGATTGTTGTTGTACGCCGTTTCCTGTGGCGTGTTGCTGCTTGGAGACGAAGCTGTAGGAGAATACGAATATATATGTATATATATATTATTGCTACGATATTCGACAGCTATGGTATCTGTCACTTACCGAAGCTCACATTATAGCGTCCCAGCTTGGGTGACAGCGTGTTGTTATGGGGCGTCATGGCCTGAGAGTCGCCCATGAGAAAAGGCGGCAAATATTGGCTTTGATTGCTGCCAGGACTGCTGACGGGACTACCAAGTGTCATGGGCTCCATAATTTTAAATAATTCACTATCCAACACACAACAAACAAATAAATAATTAACTAAATATAATAGGCAAGCAGTTAGAGCAGATGCAATTTAAAAAATGATGCAGGCATTTAATTCTTTTTGCAGTGTTGCGTACAAGTGTTGCAATGGCAGTTATCGACCATTTCGATATTTGGCATTTGTAATGTGTGTGACAAAGTTAGGCTGACCATGCCTTGCAGGCAATTTTTAGCGCAAGCGCATAAAGTTTTAAACAACGATCATATCGATAGTGGGGCATCGATTGTCAGTTTCAGTTTAGACATCACATACAACAGAGCTGCAGGGCAGACGCGTGTGGCCTGTACGCCTTATATTTTTTTTGTTGCTATTCAGAAGAATATATATATTTACCAATACGCGACGCGTCAAACAAGTGTTTGTGTGTGTATTTTGTTGCTGTGCTTATTCAAATATTAATGCGCGCAAGTGCATTTGATAATAGACAGCGTGCCTACCCTTCAGACAGCTCCACAATTATACTAAATATATAACTACACACAAATTAAGTGCGCTGCTGTTTCGCCAAATTGGAAAAGGGTGCTAACGCTATGTGGAGTCCAACACATTGCAGTGTAACTGGTAAGTGCAGGTGTTACTCACTCCTCTCTCTATCTCTCCTGTCAGCTGGTCACACTTGCAAATGCCGTTGCATAAATAACATTTGAGAGGGGCAACTGCTAAGAGACGCTCCTAAAATATCGCATTAAACGTTAAACTGGTTTAGTGAATGTGAGCGTGACTGTGTGTGTGTGTGTGTGTGTGAGTGTCAATGAATTCCTGCGGGTGTGTGGGTAAAAAATCATCATATTTAAGCGCAAAACCAATTGAACGGCTTTTTAATACTATTAATTGGTAAAATTACGCACTTTGCTTTTTTTGTCATCGGCTTACGGTGGGGATTTCAACAGAATAACAACAACAAACACATATGTACATATGCATGTGTGTTTTCTGTGCACATACATATGTACATGTACATGTATATATATATATATATGTATATGTATATATGTATGTGTGCTTATGACAGAGATTCTCTGTGCTTTTTGTTTTTTTTTTTTTTTTTCGTGGTGAAAACCATTGTAACCTATTCAACATCTTGTTTAAAATTTCACTTTTCTGTCTTCGACGCTGTGAACGCATGACCCTCGCTCTTCCCGCTGCTGCAGGTTTTCCCGGTTTTCTCTTTTTGTTTGCCCATACTTAATATCTACACTTCTATTCCAGTATCAGTAAATTACGTTGATAAGATTATGTATTTATTTGCCATTTGCCTTTTGCCATTTTCATTGCTCATGCGATAAGTCGTTTGCTACATCGCTTACTCATCGCGCGTGTCTAGAAAGTAACAAAAAATGTTAACTCGCAATTCTAACTAAACGCATTCATGCTCCCCCTCTTCTTTCAGCCTCTTCATCAGTCGCTTGTTTTCGTTGATTGATTCGCTAATGGCGCATGGCGCGCATATTTGATTTATTTTGATTTCGCCTTTTCTTCTTTGTCGCATTCTTTCGCGTACATAGTTTGTGTGTGTGCGTGTGTGTGTGTGTGTGTGTATTTTAGTGGGCTTTTTTCTTGTGCATTGTATTGGGCATGTTTATGTTTTTTGTTTTGTTTTCATGGCTGAATGTCAATGAAAAATCAGCGCTAAATTTCATATTCGTGACAAAATGGCAAACCTGCGCCACTCCTCTCTCTCCTCTCTCTCTCTTAATTAACTCGGCTCGTGTTGTTTATAATTATGAATACCAATTGCAAATATTGCACATAGTACACTTTTAATGAACATGTGCCATATTGCAAATGCGCATATTAACATACATACATATGTACATATGTATGCATATGCACACAAATTGATGTAAACGTATGTAGGCAGCCGCACAGATGAATAGGTGCATACATACATATACGTATGTATATGTAAGTGACTCATAAAATGTTAAAAAAGCAAGCTCTTGCAAATAAAGCAGATAATGCACACATACATACATACGCACATATATTCCTAAGCACACATTCAGCCACACGCTGATAAGAACAATGTACACACACACACACACACACTTACAGATAAACAGTTTGATGCTTGATTGGCAATTTGCTTTTGCCATTTGTTTGTCCTTTTGCGTCTGCTTCTCTACCTTGAACTTGGATAATTTCCCCAGCTTGGCTGCGGCTCTCCAGAGCTATCACACACACATACATGTGCAAATGTATGCACAGTTAAAACTGTACATACATACATACATAAATACCTATGAACAGTTGTATTTGAGTATTTGCACAGACCCAAAATCCGGCAATTCAATGCTTACGTAAATAGCCGAAGCTCGTATGCTCTTTAAAGTTTATGAAATTTAGGAATTAAAAACATATACAAAATATACTCAATGAAAGTCGATGAATCATTTTTGGGCAATTCCAGCCACACGAATATCATGGCCTACGTCTGGTTGATGGAATTTTGGAAAGACATTTTATTTTCAGTCTAACAGGTGGGCGATGTCGTAAGTTTTGTTCTAAGATATTAGCCAACATATAGTGAAACGTAACAATGCAACACTGGTTGCCAATTTAGCTATTTTGTAGCTAAACTGCGCTGCTTTCAGCGCTCGTCAAGCGGAAACTGTTGAAATTTTACACTGATTCAACTATTTGACAAGTAAGAACAACCCTGTTGCTCAGTTACTTTTGAAGCGACAGTTGGCAACACTGGTTAAATGGAAATGTCCTAAATAAACTACATAATATATGCTCCTATTTTAAGTTTAAGATTTCATTTTATTAAGTTGTTCCTAAACGATCTATCGAAATGATTAAAACCAGAAACAAGTCTTTAAAATAACTCTTATTGGAAAAGAGATTTGGAGATGTTTGTCTGCAATTCACGATGAAATATATCTTCTTTTAGTTTAATGCGTTTTCTGTTAAAATTGACAGATCCTCTAGACAGACGATCTTTCGCATCGTTGCATTCCCGGCCATTGGTGAGCTGTCTGTCTGGCTTATGACAAAGTTATAGTTGCCTCCAGCGATCAGGCACCGAAAGAAAAAAGAGCCGTTGACGTCAATTAATAAACAAATCCGTTTGTTGAGCTGCTCTCGTGCCTGTCTCTAGCCATTGTTTGCATTCTTTTGCTTGATAACAGCACCGCAGCTCTACCTCAGCTCCCCGCTGCCCGATCCGCGGTCCACGCTCCCAGACGTTCACTCCACACTTCTCGCAGCCGTCAGACGGTGGAACATAAAATAATACGAATATCTGTTTCTGTCTTATTTGCCAAAGTCGTGTATCAATATTTGCACTTGAGATGAGCCCCGTTCGTCTGCGCCTCAGAGTATCGCACAAACAGCTGTTTCTGGTACGAGCTTCTGGGAAACGATTTCTGCAAAAAAAAAAAAAAAACTCACAGAAGTTCTTCTTTCAACTGATTATATATTATCAACACAATTAAAAAAGTTTCAAGCATTCCACCTATTTTCCACCCCAGCGCGTGGAACCTTTCAGAAACTGTTGATTGCTATTTGACATTTAGTATAGGCATATAATTTATTTAGTTAATTCAGTTTGTCCTCCACCCTTATGGACTCTCGGCCCAAGTATAGGGCCACTCCCTCTGGCGGCCAGTGGCACTCCCTGTAGCTGTTTTCCCTGCCCGCCCTTGGCTTTAGGCTTTATCTCTTCACATTCCCCACACAAATCCACGGTCTCCGAGTGCATGGTTTGTACTTTGTCGTCGTCTGTTTTTAGAAGTTGGCTGCTGTTTTCAGAACTTGGTGCTGCCTAATTGCGTGCGTTATTTTTAGCCATAAATTCTTGCTGCCCCATTCGCCAGCTCGTGCACGGAGTTACAACAACTACAAGCGAATTGCGCAATGTGCTGCCTTTTTAAACAGACCACAAAACCATCAAACTAACCAATCAGCCAGACAAACAAACAAACAAACATTCCACTAAGCAACCACCAAAGAGAAAAACACAAAGCAAAACAAGTAAGAGGCTCGAGTCGGGAGCTCCCGACTAGGGGATACTCTGAACCCTCTTCTTCCAACATCAAATGCATATATATATTCTATTTTAGAAGCAACATATCATGTTTCGTGACTCTAGCTCTTATTATTAACCGAAATTGCCAAAAAAAAAGGATATCGATATCGATTTTTATCGATTGCTTGGAACGGAGTAAGTTATCGATTTTCGGAAACAAACTCGATCTGCGCAGGCACTAGGAGCACCTACATCTCAAATTTCAGTCTCTAGGTTCCGAGATCCTTGCGTTCATACATACGGACAGACATGGCTAGATCGACTCGGCTTTTGATGCTGATCAAGAATATATAGATACTTTATGGGGTCGGAGATGCCTGTTACATACATTTGTATTTTGCACAAATACAATATACCCTTATACCCATTTTTAATGGGTTCAGGGTATAAAAATCATCAAAAAGATTGAATTTACGAACGAATCGGTTTTTTGTCAACAACATTTTTCAACCCATCGATGCTTAATTTGTTTGAATGCCAATTGATGTTAGGGATCCGTACGCATTCAAAAAGGTAGAACATTTTAAAATCAGACATTATTTACCCGAGATATTAAAAAAAATCATCGAAAAAGTTTTGATTTTCGCACCGACCTCGATTTTGAAAAAAAATCATGATGATTTGGAAGGTCATATCTCCGCGGGGAGTTCTGTCGTTTTGGAACGTCATATCTCCGCGCGGAGTTATGTCGTTTTGTAACGTCATATCTCCGCGGGGAGTTATGTCGTTTTGGAACGTCATATCTCCGCGGGGAGTTATGTCGTTTTGGAACGTCATATCTCCGCGCGGAGTTATTTCGTTTTGGAACGTCATATCTCCGCGGGGAGTTATGTCGTTTTGGAACGTCATATCTCCGCGGGGAGTTCTGTCGTTTTGGAACGTCATATCTCCCGCGGAGTTCTGTCGTTTTGAAACGTCATATCTCCGCGAGGAGCTATGTCGTTTTGGAACGTCATATCTCCGCGGGGAGTTATGTCGTTTTGGAACGTCATATCTCCGCGCGGAGTTATGTCGTTTTGGAACGTAATATCTCCGCGGGGAGTTATGTCGTTTTGAAACGTCATATCTCCCGCGGAGTTCTGTCGTTTTGAAACGTCATATCTCCCGCGGAGTTCTGTCGTTTTGAAACGTCATATCTCCGCGCGGAGCTATGTCGTTTTGGAACGTCATATCTCCGCGGGGAGTTATGTCGTTTTGGAACGTCATATCTCCGCGCGGAGTTATGTCGTTTTGGAACGTAATATCTCCGCGAGGAGTTATGTATTTTGGAACGTCATATCTCCCGCGGAGTTACGTCGTTTTGGAACGTCATATCTCCGCGCGGAGTTATGTCGTTTTGGAACGTCATATCTCCGCGCGGAGTTATGTCGTTTTGGAACGTCATATCTCCGCGCGGAGTTATGTCGTTTTGGAACGTCATATCTCCCGCGGAGTTCTGTCGTTTTGGAACGTCATATCTCCGCGGGGAGTTATGTCGTTTTGGAACGTCATATCTCCGCGGGGAGTTATGTCGTTTTGGAACGTCATATCTCCGCGGGGAGTTATGTCGTTTTGGAACGTCATATCTCCCCAGGGAGTTCTGTCGTTTTGGAACGTCATATCTCCCCAGGGAGTTCTGTCGTTTTGGAACGTCATATCTCCCCAGGGAGTTCTGTCGTTTTGGAACGTCATATCTCCGCGGGGAGTTCTGTCGTTTTGGAACGTCATATCTCCGCGCGGTGTTATGTCGTTTTGGAACGTCATATCTCCGCGCGGAGTTATGTCGTTTTGGAACGTCATATCTCCGCGCGGTGTTATGTCGTTTTGGAACGTCATATCTCCGCGCGGAGTTATGTCGTTTTGGAACGTCATATCTCCACGCGGAGTTATGTCGCTTTGGAACGTCATATCTCCGCGCGGAGTTATGAGCTTTTGGAACGTCATATCTCCCCGCGGAAAAAAACGTGATGTAACTTGCCATTTTGTCGATTTGGGTCAAAATTTTGAAAACACGCACATGACGAATTCCAAATCCAAAATAAACCAAGAAAGGGCTTCGATCTTGGCACGCCGAAGATGAATACCCTTGTGGACATTTGGCTTATGGTTTTGCAGATAGGCGAGGCGAATTATAAAGCTTGCTAGTGAAATCTAAGCATGCTTTTCATACAAGAACTTCATTGCCAATCGATTAAACCAACGATAGCTATATGATATAGTGGTCCGGTATTGACAAAAAGATGGTAAAGTTTCAGGACACTAGATCCGTAAAGCTGACAAGGTCGCAGTTCGGAGAAGAAGTTGACGGGAGAAGAAGTTTATCATTCCTTTAAATACATATAATATATGTATATATTTTACAAATTAAGCAAAACTTGATTAGATAGCTAATCTAAAAAACTGTCTAAATAAATCAGATAATGCTAATTTATATGTTTTGATACGCATGGATGACGTTTTCCTGGCACAAAATTAAAGCTCGAGCGAATATGGTTTTATGGATTTTGTTTGGTTCAGGTTCAAGATTCGGTTCAGAGTAGAAAACAAATGGAAATTCCAGGCTGGAACTGGTTCGGTTCCGCACAGGCTTGATTCCTGACGCCGATGGGCAATAAACAACATTCGGGGAGATATATATGTAAAATGTAATATGTATAAAGCAAACGAAACATATTAATTAGATAGTTGCAGACAGAATTCTTGTTGGAATCGTTGCTGCTTCAATTGCTTCAGTGACTGCCGATGGCCCGTTGGATGCACTTATGCGAAACAGTTACGTTTCATTGCCCCGACCCAGTTAGCGACTATTCCCGGCGAATAACACAAGTGCAGCCGAACGAAACAGGTCTGAAATCAGATGTCGGACTCCACCTCCTGTCGCATCAATTGATTTCCAGTTTACCAACTGCTAAATGCCTTCTTCTTCGTCTTCGCCTTCAGCTACTGGTTGTCCGTGGAGATCTTCTCGCTGCATTCCCTCACTCTTCGTATGATATAAACAAGTTGAACTGAACCGAAGATATATTTGACCTTTCGCATTGACATGCAATTGTCTGTACGTGATCAACAATTGGGTACTGCATGCAATTAATTGCCTTGCTCTCCCTCTCTCCCTCTCTCTCTCTCTCTGCCTCTTTCACATGGCTGAAGAAAGCAAAGAAAGACTGTCAAACCA